CCATGTGCTGTGGGATTAAACTATATAATAAGCTTAGTGATGACATTAAGTCCTCAAACATCAATGTCTTTAAAAGGCAGCTCAAGGTTTTTCTATTGCAGAAAGCATACTACTCTGTGGATGAGTTTCTCCTTGAATCATAATTTGATTGTAGCTTAGTAATTTTAGTTTTATTTAAGTTATGTTTTGTATTTGATTTTTATAATAGTTTGACCTGTTTTATCAGTCAGTATTTCATGATGATGTTTGCCTAATGTGATTGTAAATGAAAACTGATTCAATAAATGTTTGATTGATTGATTGATTGATACGTTTTTTTGAATCTACATTATTACTTCAATGTTGACTGACAGCAATTTCTTATGTGGTGAACTTAAAAGTAATCTAGAGTATGATAGACTGCTGAAAGAAATGTTAACTCGTTACTATTAATATGCAGGTTTTATCTGTTACTGATCTATACATTATTTTAAATTCTACATTATTATTTCAATGTTGACTGATCTTTTCAATAGATTCAAGCTATTTGTATATCTTTACCGGTCAATATACGATCGGATCGGGGGCGCTTTCCACGAAAGTTCATTAACTTATATTTTCAACAGAACTGTCATTCACCTGTTTCGAATTGCGCCACTCATCTGGTTCATTTTCCCTTTAATCCAGAGAGGCGTATGCGTATTCATCCCGCCTGTATCAAGTTGAAGGATATAACAAATGTTTTACATTTTTCCATGCCGATTTCGATATAAACTACGTAGTACGCAGAACGTTCATCCCGAGCTCCCTGAATTCCAACCGAGATTATCTGTTTACACGGCGAAATGCATACGGAATGATGGAAATTCATTACGAAAATGAAAACGGATGGCAGCGAAGTGCCACAAAAATAATTTTAATCCTGATGTGGTAGATTTGTCGTCTGCTGCTTGTTTTTGTTTAATCCCACTCGAGTAATCGCCATTTGCCTTGCTGTATTCTGTGGGGATTTGTATCGAAGTAGGATGAGTGGTGGTATTGCGAGAAAATGAAATATGGTAGGGTGTTTTTAGGTATGTTGGAAGGGTAATTATTTTGGCGTTTATATTGATACTCTGTAATCAGTAGAGCTACATTAATTTTGTAGACCTTGCGGCTTTAAGTACTTTTCATTTTATTGTATTTGTGCTGTAAGGATTAATGAAATTGCAGTTTTGTTTCGGATGGATTTTGCATTTTAAATAGAAATACGATGAATGAAAACTGAAATTAATAAAATTAATGAACTGTGAATGACTGAGGTGTCAAAATATGAATTATTCAAACCAGATGTTATCGAATTTTTTTATAGTATTGTTCGTTGTCAAATCACAAGATGAAAATTTAGATATACCTTTTATTCACGATTTAAAAAATTGCCAGTTTGTTAATATACATTGTGCATAATCAGCATTATTTCAAGATGACTGTAATAAGATATCTTCTATCTTATTATTCAAACCAGATGTCATCGAATTTTTTTGCAGTATTGTTCGTTGTCAAATCACAACATGAAAATTCACATATACCTTTCATTGAAGATTTGAAAAATTGCCAGTTTGTTCATAGATATATAGTCCATTCAGTTAATTATTGAAATTCATTTCAAACATTCTAAATTGAGTTCAAAATTGAGATATGTAGATCATTCATGGAAGTTACTTTCAGATTCAAACCGAAACAACTAATTCCTCACGAACATTGAATGATATATCATTCATCAGCCCGTGGATTGGGCTACCTATCGTGCGCGTCCCCAGGTGGCGGATGGGGGAACGGCCAGGGGACTGGAGGTCCTGTCTGGGAAGCCAATGTGGCCTTACGGACGGGGTCGCCGGACTCCTGGTCAGTGGCAGAAATAAGTAGGGTGAGGGGAACTAAAACTTCCCAAAAGCCTTTGCAGCACATGCCACCATGGACCAGCCTACCCAAGCTAAGGTATAAGGAATCGTGCCGACAGCTGAATGGCCGCGGATACGAATGATCCCCTTGGGGAACTTGGCGAAACCTTATTGTAATCAGCCTACCTCTGGTAATACGGGACTCTGCCAGAGGTGACCAACTCCCCCCTTGCTACTCGTGGAAACACACATGAATGAAACAAACACAAAAACAGAAACAACAAAAACAAAAACCTAGCCCGAGGCTGGACAGAAGTGCTCACCTGAGTCTAAGGCGGTGGCTGGGGGTAAACAGAAATATCCACCCCAATCTACCGCTTGGACATAGCAGATCACCTTGTGATGTAATACAAAGGCCAAGGCGTAAGCGCATTTGCGGCAGAGCGACAGAGGCAGGAGTGACAGCAATTATAAGTGCACCCTCCTCCTCCACCACTCCACCTCCAACAGCTAGGGTACTTCCTGCGGCGGGCACCAAGATCTCCACCTTGAATAAAGGCAAGGAACCGGATGCCCCTGCAGGAAAGCTCCCTCACTTGCGCACCTCCACGGTTGGAACCCCAAGAATGTTGAAAAAGTCGTGCAACGACAGTAATGTTACTGCACCTTCCAAAATCTTCCCAGAGGCCACCGTGAGACACCTCAAGGTTGCCAAAGAGATTGTGTGTTCTGCGAGTCTTGGCCAATATGAAGGAGATGTCTCCTACTGACCTATCCACCTTCTTGGAAAAGACAGGATGGACGATGACCTAAGAGGACAACTCCTCGGGAGGATGTACAATTGGTCGCATGTGGCGTAAGTGCTGTAGGTCTACACTCACCCTCCCTACTTCACAGATACAGATATCATTCATCAGAACGCTACACCATGACAGAATCAGTTATAAATGAACATTTCACAGGCAGGTAACATCAGCATCCTCAATGGCAAACTTCGTAGTTCCGGAATAAGACACTTGTCTTATTACCTCATCAGTAGGATGGTATTACAAAAAAATATTCATCTCATTCAGGAATAACAACTTCATGTCATTTATTGTCATGTCATTTATTGTTGGACGTTCTTGAAAATATCATTAATACCTCTCTAAATGAAGGATGTTTTCCCTCATTGCTTAAGTTGACACGATTGTATGTATGTACTGTATTATTATTTTTATTGCACGGTATCTTCTGAAGATTTCATATTTTACTTTTGGCATATGTTAATTTGATGGTATTTTGTGACATGTTCTAAAGCTGTAGCTTTGTTATGAACCAAATAAAACATTTGAATTTGAATTTGTCATAAATTAGAATAATCTACTCATGTCTTGATGACAGTACGTAAAGACATTCGATGCATGTGATGATTGTCAGACCTGTAGTGTTCAAAAGGGACAATGAAACACTGATTGTAATTGCACACACTATACTATTCTAAGACCGAAGTCCATCATGGAATGAAAATCTCTGGTATACATTCCTCAATAACTACAAAAAAATATAAATTCAACATAGGCGTAGACAGAGAATTTTCAATAGGTAATGAATGGTTTAATTACATCACAAGACCAATGATCACTTATGGAGCAATTGCCTGGTGGCTGAAGGCTTTACAGAAAACGGCTCAGGCGAAGGCAGGCTTGTCTGCCAGCAGTACCATACCGTCAGCAGACATGGGTATCTTTTGGGATCTACCTCCCCTTCACCTTTTTCTGGAGAAAGAGGCTAGATTGGACTGCATATAGACTTGTGACATCGTCAATTGCACAAATAAATCTAATGCAGAGTACAATAGGCTGCTGATTGACCCTGGAAATCACAGCAGCAGCAGCGATTGTCCCAAAAACTCTAATCTCTCCCACAGGACTTCACACAGACCAATATATAACTCGAAAATTCAGAGAGATCCTTCTTATTTGTCAAAAAGTCAAGTGCGTCTGGATGTTACAAGCTGAAAACACAGCGAACGTAATATTGAAGTAACAACTTTACTTAGGACTCAAGTGAAACCTAATATACCATACTGACGAAGTTTTTACGTATTCGCTACAACATATTCACATAAATTACTTATGTAAATATGGGTTAAAAGTATCTTACAAATATAATGAAGTATTTACATAAATATATTATATAAACATGTTCCGTTAATTTTATGTCATATTTACGTAAATGTAACAAGTGTGTTTGCTGGGAGTATGATCCATTTATTCACCTCGTTATGTGATCTGAAGAATATTTCATGTTATAGTAAATAATAAATCATTATCATTATTATTACTCAGAATTTGATTGTTTTTTGTAGAACCATACATTTTCTACCATTTCACAAATAGTTAATGTTGAATTGCAATAGTAGCAATTAAAATAACTCAACTTATTACTTGTAGTTTCCTTGTCGTTTCAAATTATTACTTACTGTTTTCCAAGGAAAACAGTTGTTGAAAAGTACTAGAATTCATATTGAGGTATAATTTGCATGAGTTCTGAATAGTTACGTAATTTATAGTCGGCAGCACCATCTGGAATTCATTTGTTTCAGACCACACCACCTCTATTCACACGTGGAACTATTGCCGCGCATGTATCTGATATATTGATCAAACTATTCCAGACAAAATAGCAAGTGTGGACAACAAAATTGTTCAATTATACTTCGATTTGGTGGCTATGAATCGCACGTTTGAATATATAACTAAAAGTGAGGTGCTGTGAGTATTGAACCTTTTTCATAATACTCAAATTTGCTGAGAAATTCAACGGTTAACAAGACAGAAAAAGCCAGTGAATGATAACCTGAACCATGATACTTATCAGGATGTGCATTTATAATTCGACCAGTTGTTGCCCGCAGCTTCGACTGCGTAGTATTTGGTTTGTCACCTTAAGTTTCGTGACAGACTATTTTGAACAGATAGTTACAATATTTTTTTAATAACCCAGAACTTCAGGTTTCTGACTTCAAAACTGACGAAATTCAATACGATCTTTGAGCCCCTTCTTTTTCCTTCGGTGGTGGAAGTTCCTGATTTCCATTCTTGATGGTTATTTACGCTATACAAAGAACCTACCTGCATATTCCAAGATTCTAGGTTCAGTATCTTCTGCTGTTCGTCAATATTAGGGCGGGCAATAGACAGTTATTTATATTTTTACTTCAAAAAAATAGTAACTAAAAAATATATCAACGACACTGAGTAATGAATAGACAGGTTGGAGACTAGATCCCATGCCTTTCGGGCTGGCGTTTGTCAGAAGGACAAATGGGACATAACTGAATGGTGGTGGCGGCATGAAAGTCTTTAAAAATCAGTACCGCCTTTCATGGTGTACCTCTGCCTGGCTGGGGTGAGATGGATAAAATATTATTCATCTGTTAGCGGGGGACATAGGGCCTCATTCGACATAGTGTCGGAGCGTTCTATATCGGGAGGGGTCGTTTCTAGCATTGTCTATAGCTTTCCTAACTAACGGATTATCGTGAGTTTTCGCCACAATCGAAAACTCGCCGATTCCTCGACTGAATGGACTGCTGAATGAAAAACAGCTGCCAATCTCCGCAGATGGCTTCGTTCCGCATGAACCACGGAGCATTTACAATCATACTTATACATTTATTTTGTAGTCTCTCCAGAATGTAGATGTTAGACGGAGCCGCTTGTCCGCAGACGCCTGAAGCATATATGATGACAGGCTTGAACATCGTGTTGTACATCGTAACTTCATTCTTTAGGCTCAATTTGGATCGTCTGTTGATCAAAGGGTACAGACTTTTGATCTGATCCCCGATCTTTGCCTTCACGGTTATGATGTGCGTGTTCCAGGTGAGTCTACGGACCATAAGAAGACCGAGATACTTTACCCGTGCTTGCCAATCGATCTTCCTTCCGAAGATTCCCACTTTTCTAGCCGAAGAATATATCGTTCTTTCCATGTTATCCCGACCCATGGAAGATGAGAGAAGAACCGTGTAAGAGCTGTGTCAGAGCCGTGTCATTGGCGTAGAGGGATATTTTCACACGCTCGGACCTATGGAGGCCACTGGTGCAGAGAGAGTACAGTGTGGGAGAGAGCACGGCCCACTGTGGTAGTCCAGCAAGGATTTCTCTGTTGTCAGAGAGCCCTCTACTCTAACCTGAAATTTTCTGTCTTTCAGGAAAGACCCAATCAATCGGATCAGGCCCCGAGGCAGGTCGAACGCGACTAGCTTATATAGAAGGCCTTCGTGCCATACACGGTCAAAGGCGTCAGAGATGTCTCATAGAACGACATGGACGGTTTTGATTCAGCTCTGCGATGGTGTTTTCGACCTGTCTCAGTGCCTGTAGCTCAGTGGAGTACTCTTTCCTGAAGCCGAATTGTTCGTCAGGCAGAACATTCCGGTCCTCAACTTCTCCGTTGAGTCTTTGCAGAACGACTCTTTCAGCCAGCTTCCACCTTCTGGGGAAGTATCTGAGTGCCAACGAACTGTTGATAATCTGCAATAGATTTTCGAATCAGAATTCCGGTAGCCTCTTCAACAACCTATTGGTTATTGAATCGACCCCCGGAGCTTTCTTGGCCTTTGCTGCTTTGATATAACCCTTCAGCTCTTCCACAGAAGCTGGGCGGATGTTATCATCGTCATCCTCCCTGAGAATACGGTGAACCCGATCTTCCAGCAGAATATCGCGGTCCATGTCATCATTGTCGTCAACGTTAAGTTGAAACTGGCGTTCTATCGTGTCGACAAATGCCAACGCTTTGTCGGCGGGGGAGTAGCACACTCCGCGCTTTCCGTGAATGGGTGAGGGAGCAGTCTTCTTCCCTTGGAGTCTACGGGTGACTTGCCAAAGCTCGTCATCTCCAGGCTCAAGGGTTTCCGAGAGATCCTCCCACCTTTCGTTCCGATGATCAATGATGGCCTGTTTGACTTGGTTGAATAGCTTCGAGAATCAAATTGAGTTGCTTACAAAGCAATTCGCAATGACGTCTGCAATCAGGCTTACTGCGTTGCGTCAAGTTGATCTTATCATGATAACTTTTAAACGATTCATCCAAATTACTTAGTATAACAAAGTTTATCTTTATTTAATACTCAAGAAGACAATTCTAGTAATTTTTATAAGAATTTAACGGAGTATTTTGCATATATTGTCTACCACATAAGAGGTAGATATATGTTACCGCGGACTTTTATATAGAACTATTCGAAATAAACACTATTACGGTAGCCTATATGTTGCCTATATGATGTATAAGTTTTATTTATGTAAAATTTAGTTTGAATCTGTTCAGTCGTTTAGGCGTGAAAGAGCCACATCCATCCTAAGAGCATAGATTGTATTTTATAAAATACAATCGTGAATTATAATTCATAAACCTTGCAATTATTATTTTGCCAAGAATCAAAATTTCTATACCTGTTAGAAAACCTAGGCAGAACAGTTTATAAATGGTTGCGACATATAACTGAACACTAAACTTTCGGATCATTATGAGGGGATCTTCCAAAGAAAGGAAGGAAGTAACTCTATACATGGATGTGTAGATCATGCAAAGAAGTAATTTTCAGGCACAAACTGAAAGAAAGTCCTCCTGAAACAGCTACTTCCATATAAACATTTAATTATACGGAAGAAAACAATTCTTTCGAAACAAATACTTCTATATGAACACTGAATACACTGAAGATACTTTTCTCTACTCAGTTTGTATTTCAAACATTCGTTGTGAAATAAAAATCAGATATCATTCACATGAGTTCTACTTTAAATGAATAGTAACAAATTGCACTTACATAAAACACTGTCATCCTGACTGGTATACACCGATGTTTCGCCTTAAGACACTTGCCCTAAGGCTCTTCAGTACCAAATTGGTACTGAAGCTTGATCTTCTTATGTCATCGATGACATCGTAATGACATTCATTCACCTATTTGATTTAATCCCAGCCAAGAGGAATCTTATTTGAATTGTATTTCACAATAAATGTTTGAAATACAAACTGAGTAGAGAAAAGTATCTTCTGTATAATTCAGTGTTCATATGGAAGTATTTTTCTTTCGTATAATTCAATGTTTATATGAAAGTAGCTGTTTCAGGAGGACTTTCTTTCAGTTTATGTCTGAAAGTTACTTCTTTGCATGATCTTCACATCTATGTATAGAGTTACTTCCTTCCTTTCGTTGGAAGATTCCCTCATCCTTCTTTTTTTGTATCAAGATGGAGTAGTAGAAAGCCAAAAACTTTCTTTTCCAAAAATTAATCACTCCTAAAAAAAATATAACCCCTTCAATTCATGAAAATTAAATTTTGAATCTATATTCATTACTTTTCTTTGATATTTTGACAGTCATTTCTTTCTTCTTCAGGAAATCTCAAGAAATTCTACAGGAGAAGGCAAGTAAGGAATGGAATAGAAAATGGGGATTTTATCTTGATTTTGATAAGGTAAAATAACTTTTTTTCTATAAAAATCCGAACATTCAAAAAAACCTTTGAAACATGCAACAATCTTCTTCGTTTGTTCAGTACGATTAGTGTGATCATTACTTCTTTGAGTTTATTCCGTGAATACAAATTATTTCTTGGTAATGAGATCCATTGTTGATTGGAATCAGCCATCAAACTACGACCAATTCTCATGACTATTAGAGCAAGCTGAAGAATTAGTTTTACACTGGGTATTTAATATTGAACAACAATCATTTTGTATACTATTTTTCTCAAAATAACGGATTGAGTTCTGAAAATTGAGAATAACGAATACGTTCATAATTCACTAGAAACGAATGAATACTTTTTTTATTATGATTAGGTTCGAAGGTCTACTATTACTACTACAAAGCTTGGCGTTGTAAAGGGAGTTGCGCCTCAAAGCCGAAAATAAATTTCAAAACATTTAAAAGTACACGCCATGATTTTTTTCATAATCAATACATTAGCAAATTCCCAACCTGAAGATATTCCACTCTTCAGCGCACGAAAGCATATGATAGAAAAATTCGTGATGAACTGATGAACTATTATGAAATTAATTGATTAAAAGATTCTCATCTTCGGAATTTTCATAATTAATACATTAGCAAATTCCCAACCTGAAGATATTCCACTCTTCGGCGCATATGATAGAAAAATTCGTGATGAACTGATGAACTATTATGAAATTAATTAATTAAAAGATTCTCATCTTCGGACTGGATCAAAGAATATCGAAAAACTGAATTTGAGAAATGTTTGTCTGACGCTCGTCAGTTCTTTGAGAAAAGCAGGTATAATTTGCCAAAAGATTTTAATGAAGAAAGGGTTGCCAAAAAAAGTTTGATTATGAAAGTAGCAATCAATCTATACAGTCAGTCAGAAACCGGTATGAAACAATTTTTTTTCAATACCGTGATTGATTTTTTGTGATGAGCAATATGGATTCGAAATCAACTGGTTTGAAAAAATTCAGGAGAAGCAAATAATGAGAAACTTACGAGTTATATAAAAAACTACAAAATATGATCCCAAATTCAGCAAACCTTACTGAAGACTTGAAATATCTGCTCCAATATATTATAGAGAACGATTTGAAATGTTCACATTGTCATTCGAATTTTATTACTTCTTCCGCTGAAAGGAGCTTTTCAATGCTTTCATTACTCATTTGTATACAAATATATGAATCTGTTAGTACCATAAAATTACCTTAGGTATTTTTGTCTTGTGTTGAAAAAAAACAGTTTTTTCCCAGGGAGAAGTGGAAGAGCAACTACGTTGAACTTCTCTCCTTCTTGCCCTCATATTTATCGAATTTTAAATCAAATGTCTCCGACATAATTGTGATAAATTATGGGTGAATAAACGTATTATTATTATTATTAGAAAACTCGAAACTAATAAAGACTTATTTAAGAAATAAATTAAGAATCACTAAATAGGGAGTTCAGTTTGACTAGTGTATCTGTGTGTCTGTCTGCGACACTGTAGCTCCTATACTAGTAGACCGATTTTGTTGCGTTTATTTTACTACTATTTTGATCATTCCAAATTTGATTTCAATTTAAGAGCCATCGGTAGACAAGCTGTTTCAGCCTGTTGGGCATCGTCAGTACCGGGCAGACGGTCCTCGATTGAAGATAAAATGCGAAAAACCAAGAACTGTACTTGACAAAAATGAGTGACGATGCCTAACAGGCTGAAACATCCTGAAATAATACTGATCTTCATCTTTTGAATTCCATGGAATTATTTTCCAGCAGCTTGACTGCATTAATCTTTTTTGATTTTATATCATTTCTAGAACCATGTGGTTTACTTTTCCGATGATATTCCAGGAAAGCCTCCCAAATTTCTGCTAATGCAGTTGATTGGTCAAGCACGAACGCTGACATGAAAATTTGGCTAGCTAACTTGGGTGTCGTCACACCGTTAGGTGCTTCCTCTTATGTCTCGCTTGCTTTTACGCAAGTACTGTTCTTGGTTTTTCGCATTTTATCTTATTTAATCGAGGACTTCCTGCCCGGTACTCACGATGTCCAATAGGCATAAAAATAAACTCTGAGAAATCAATAAAAAGACAATATTTACAACATCTCAGGGAGATTTTTAGAAGAAACACAGTTTGATCACCCTGTACATGAACAGAAGTGCTGTTCTATAAGCGGAAATCACACCACAAAGCGAGAGAAATGTCAAAAATTGAAAATTATTATTTTAATTATTTCAGAATGAATACAATTGACAGAATTTGTACATTATCAATCAGAAATAATATTGTATCTATTGCAGAAAATTAGAAGAAATGTAATAAAATTGTTATTTAATTAATTAAATTGTTAATAATCAATTATAAATAATGAAATGTTTGAAAAGAATGGTTGTAAACAGACTCCCTAGTTACGAACATTAAATAATGCTTACATAAAATCAAGGTATTTGAACCTAAGTGGGGTTATACAAAATTTGTAAACATATAAAAGAGAAATGTAGCTGATTTTGGAAGTAAATATCAAAGCTGTAAGTTAACTAGTTTTATAAATATGAAACTTTGAAATTTGAACTTATGACAATCAGTAGTTGGTATCCAAGGAAAGTAGCGATTATTTAACTTATTTAACAAAAGGATCGCTTCCCAAGCCTAAAGAGAGTATCGAGCGAATTTGATGCTCCAGAAATATTTGAGAAATGAGTTAATAATAATTAAAATTCAAGTATTTTAATAATAATAAATCATAATCGAATGAAAAGTAACATTACCTACCTGAAAAATGCAATCCATCAAAGAAGAAAATAAAGAAAATATTTTGAAGCAGAGTTCAGATTTCCAAGGGCCAGTTCAGGTGATTGTTATTTAATCGGTACATTTGAAGCTTCAATATAATTTGTGTTAATCTTGATAGTTCTACTCAAACTGAACGGTTTGTCTTCTTGTGTGTTCTTTTACATGGTTAGAACGCCTTAGTGCAGGTATTTCGGATGTCTCTTTGAATTTGCCTAGGTCTTGTTGTGTTTTGATTTGAATTCATATACATAGCATTCACGTACATAGGTCACCAAACCAAAAAATTAACAAACATCTTCAAACCCTTGAACATCAATATCACTTATAAGCCGAACACGAAAATAACACCAAAAATGAACAGCTATGGAGAAGAAGAAGAAGACAAAACCTAAAAGGAGTGTATATCATGCAATGCTTGGACTGCAATAAATTTTATATTGGCCAAACCAAGAAAAAACTGATCCAAAGGTACGACGGGCACAAAAAAGCATACATAAACCCAATAACATATAAATCAAAACACGCAACACACACCATACAAAACAAACATAACTTTTCCCCATCAGAAAACATCAAACTCAACGAAATCAATAAAGGAAACCGTATCTGGGAAAACCTAAACATCCATAAATTCAAAAGTCATAATTCACTTATCGAAGAAGAAATACAAATCAAAATTCAAAGTCAAAGTCAAAATATGCTTCATTGTCTGAAGATTCATATCTTATTGAGAAAGCTTGGTTGAAATAACTAAATAAAAAAAAACAAACAAACAAAATTACACATATTAGCTATCGCTACTTAGTCATATAAAACTATAAACTATAAAATAATATACAATTTTAAGTAGATACTGCATATATGTATATGTAAAAAAATAGGACAGAAAAAGATGACAGAAACAGTTTGTATCTACTTAGCACAATACACACTTTAGGAAAATAACCAGTAATAATGTATTTTAATAATTTCCGATATTGATTACATGAACTGTATTGAGAGTCAGACACAAGTCAATCAATCAATCATGCTTTATTGTCAAAAAAATCCTTATTGATGAAGCTAGTGAACCTTTATGAAGTCAACAAAGTTGAAGTTTTTATAAAAAAAATGTTTAAATTATGATACACAGTGAACAATCATCATAGGGTTAAAAAAATGTACATATATGAATACACATAGATAAAACAATATATAAACCATTACAGATAATAAATAAATGAATCATCACAGATATGTAAGCATCTGAAATACTAAGAGTTAAAATACATCATCGTAATATTACTTTTTTTGCAGAAGTACTCCTTTAAGTAATTTTTTGAATTTTTTAAAATTTCCTTATGCCCAATAGCACATTGGAAGGTGGTTGTATATTTTCTTGCTCTCATATATCAAAGAAAATTTTGTAATTGCTGATTTTGGGATTGGCAAGGGTAAATTCCGACTTTCTCTCGTGTGGTAACGTCTGTCATTATTTACTGCTGAGTTGTAGTATTTTTTGTGAATAAAGCAAACGGTTTCTGAAAGGGATAAACAAGGTACAGTAAGAAATTTCTGACTGATGAAAAGTGATTTGCAACTCGAACTGCATAAATTTGCATAAATTTGCTATATGCTACTCAAATTTTAATTTATCATCTATAAATACCCCTAAAAGTTTTGTGTGAGTTTTGTTAACTATAGCGTGATTTTCTATTAGTAAATCGTCGAAATTAAGTTTGAAGCAAACTATGTTTGTTTTATTTGTGCTGAAACATAAGGAGTTTGAATCGCACCACTGTTCAACCGTATACAGATTCAGAGTTATGATGTCTCTGAGATTATCTTCATTTGTCCCACGCCGAAGGCTCGTGGTGTCATCCGCAAAAAGTGTGAACTTCCCTTTAATTTCAATGATTACCAAATCATTCAGATAAAGCATAAAATAGATAGGACCCAGAACCGAACATTGTGGTACACCTGATGAATTATTCTAAGTTGCTCTGTGAAATATCTTTCGGCTCAATACTCTTCTGCTCTGGTCTCTGGCCACATTTCGAAAAATTACAGAAGATTAGCTTTTACCCCTTCGTCAACAGCATGGTGTATATTTGCATTAAGTTGTTCATGTGCATTGGAGAGCTGGACATTGGAATACATCCTATGCAAGCATTGTTCCCAAATACTAGAAAAACAAAACTCTTCT